CTTTTTAACCTTTCCTAATATTTACTTTTATTCTCTTGGCTGTTTTCTCTTCTCAATATCCCTTATTATATTTTCGGTTATGCCTATTATCCATTGGGCACCCCGGAATTCAGTCTGTAATTGCGATTATTTTGTTTTTCTTCAATTTTTTTTCTTGAGTTTGGACAATTCTATTTTCACACCTTCCTGTCTCTTCCGCATTTCTAGTCTGACTTTTAAAATTTATGATTAAAGGGGTTTTTTTGTTTTTCATATCTGTCAATACTTGTTTAATTCAAGTTGTGCTGTTGTGTAATAGTTTTCTTCTGGTTAGTCACTGATTTTGGCAGAATTTTCAATAGTTAAAATGGTTTTATCCTCATCTTTGGTTTCTCATCATACAGAAACTTTTTGTAGATACTGACTGCTATTTCTTAATCATGTGAAATATCTTATATTTTCCTGTACCAACAAATACAGGAGGTTCTGTTTTGGCAGGAATCTTGGGTTATGAATTTCTGTTGACATAGTGAAACACAGTTTCTTTAGTAGATGAGACTGTTGGGATGGAATGGGAAGACTGGTGTGTCTTTTGACTGATTCTCTTCTGTTTCTGTATAATTCTGAATTACAACACCCCTGCTTCTTTCTTTTCCTTCAACATATGTCTGTCCTCCCCCAAAGGTAGCTCTCTTCTCAAGAGTGCTATCTCTAGTCCCTCACACTTTCAATCCACTCTCTTCCTTTGGATTCCCCAGTAGCCAATGTTCTAATCAAGTAGATCTTAGCTCTGTTCTCAGTATTTCCCACTCTAAATTGAACTCTCTTTTCCTAGAGGTGATTTTGACTGTGTTAGGCCCCCACTGCCCTCACCTTTCTAAATGCCATTTCTACCTACATAAAACTATTCATTCTGGTTTGGGTCAGGGGGTCATGTACTAGCTCTAATGATTTCAGATCTTTATACCTGAACATGTAGACAATATGTGATTGAAATCTGTGGTATTCTTGACTCCCAGTAATGTTTAAATTGGTTTGGTTTCCTTTTTGATCCACACGTTTCTAGAGAATTTATTGAAAGACTGTGATTTAAATTGTCACCATTATCCTTGGGACCTTATATAGTTGAGCCCTGAATGATGCAGAGGTTGGGGGTACGAACCCCCCCCAACCGCATGCACTCAAAAAATTGTGTGTAACTTTTGACTCCCTCAAAACTTAACTACTGATAACCTACTATTGACCTGAAACCTTAACGATAATGTAAAGACCTGATTAACACATATTTTGTATGTTTTATGTATTATATATAGTATTCTTAAAATAGGCTAGAGAAAAGAAAATGTTATTAAGGGGTGCCTGGGTGGCTCAGTCAGTTAAGCGTCTGCTTTTGACTTAGGTCATGATCCCAGGGTCCTGGGATCAAGTCCCACATCGGGCTCTCTGCTCAGCGTGGAGCCTGCCTCTCCTCTCCCTCTGCCCACCCCTCTGTCTGCTGCTCTACTTGTGCTCTCACTATCAAAGAAATGTAAAAAATCTTTAAAAAAACAAAGGAAATGTTATTAAGAAAATAAGGAAGGGAAAATACATTTATAATAGTGTACTGTACTTATCAAAATAAATCTGTGTACAATGGAGCTATGCAGTGCAAACCTGGGTTGTTCAAGGGTCAATTGTGCTTTTTAATAGCCTATCAAGATGATTCTAAATAGTGATTCATAAAGCAGGTTGAGAACTACACCGTTTAATGCAGCTATAAAAAGAAATGAGAAATATCTCTGTACTACTAAGAAATCAACTTTAGGATCTTTCATTAAATGGAAAAAAGCAAGGTTAAGACAACTATGCATAGTATGCTGTCATTTATATAAGAAAGTGGGAAATACATATGTATATATGTACATACACAGACACACACACACACACACACACACACAAATATATTTGTATTTTTAAAAAATGAAGTACAAACTATAAAATTAAAAGAAAGCAGCACCTATGGCAGAAGAAAGCAATAAGGTGAAGGGAATTTCTCTGAATATACTTTGCTCTATAGATTTGACTTTAAGAATGATTTGTATCACATATACATTTAAAAAGGAACATTTCTAAAAAGCAATCTCTAAAAATAAAAAGAAATACAGGGGTGCCTGGGTGGCTCAGTCAATTGCGCATCTGACTCCTGATTTTGGCTCAGGCTGTGATCTCTGGGTCCTGGGATTGAGCGCCATACTGGGCTCCGTGCTCAGCAGGGAGTCTGCTTGAGGATTCTCTCCCTCTCCCTCTGTCCCTCTGCCCCTCCCCCCATTCATATACATTCTCTCTCTCTCTCCCCCTCTCTCAAATAAATAAATAAATAAATAAATCTTTAAAAAATACAACAAATGAACCTAAGTTTATATCAAGTTGGTGGCACTGCAACCCAGAGAGAAACTAACACAAACAACCTTATATCATATTATTGACTATCCTTCACTTGAGGGTAAGAAAAAAAGAGATGCAAGTAACTCAAACACTGTCAGTAATGAGGATGGTGGTAAAGTGTTACTGTTATTCTGAGACTATTGTATGTGTCTACACAATAGAACAAATGAGTTATTTTGTTAGTGATATGGAGAACTAGGGTTTTGTTGTAGTACAAAGGAGATACAAATTTAAGATAGCAAAGATAAAGTAAATAAAAACACCATTTGTCCTGAATTTTAGTAGGAAGTATCAATAAGAACTAACAATTTTATCTTTAATAATAGTAGTAAGGCAGTTCCTATTTCTGCCAAAAAGACATAGAAAGAACAACCAACCCAGAAGCTCTGAGCGCTCTAGAGTTCAGATTATAGTCTCTATCATTTCCCACTAAAAGGAACCCACGCACCTAAAAGAAATAGCTGAAGTCGTATTTGGGGCAGATAATATATAAGATAAACCTGGAACATTTTGAAATTTCAAAAGTCCAAGAAAGCTATCAAGCAATAAAGAGTCAAGAGACCATTGATGTGGCTCCTATATAGCCAACGAATGGACAAATTAGGAATCAATAAGGATAATTAATGCAATGGAATGAAACATGTCAAGTATGTATGAATTCTTGGGTTTATGACAGTAAACTACAATAACAAAAAAAAACTATCCTTAAATATTTTTGGAGGATGGTAGTAAACCAATTCATCATTTTGTAAATTGGTAAATAAAGAAAAGAATCAAGCATTTAAGCTTTCTTCCATGAATGATATCCTCACAATAGCCAAATAATCTATGGAAGTTTATTTTAATAGACATATTCCATTTAATTTATGTGGATAGAATTATTTATAAGATTAAAATTTCCCATTCTGCAACCATAATGAATTGATTGATCTAAATCAGGGGTCAGCAAATTATAGCCAGCAAGCTGGTCATCTGTTTTTATAGATATAAGATTTTAATGGAACACAGCATTGCTCATTTGTTTATGTATTGTCTCTGGCTGCTTTTGTATTACAATGACAAAGCTGACTAGTTGTAACCGAGAATGTATGGCCAATAAGCCTGAAAGTTTTGCTGTCTAACCCTTTAAGAAAATCTGTCAACCTTTGATCTAGGCCACAAGCAGTAATGGCTGCTACGTTATAAAATAAGAGACAACGAGACCATTTATGCTTCCTAATAGAAGTAAACACCATCATCTATGAGATATTCTTATAAAAAACTGAACCTGAACCTGAACCTGATCAAGCCTCTAGACCTAGCTGCCAATTTCTAGGAGAGAGAGAACAGAGAAACCTGTCAAATGATACCACAGAGATACAATTGGAAAAATCTAATTGTGGGGGATATTAAAGACAAATTATTTAGGTTTTTCAACAAATAAATTGTAAGACAAAAATAAGAGAGAAGGAGAACCCACAGGTTAAAAGAGACTTAAAGGACATATCAACCAACTACAATATGTGGATATTTGGATCCTGATTCAAAGAAACTAACAGAGAGAGAGAAACAGACAGACAACAGGGAAAATTTAAACACTGAGTAAATATTTGTTGATATTAATGAATTATCATTAATTTATATGTGATAACATTATGATTATGTTTTAAAAATATTATCTATGTGACATAGATACTAAATATTTAAGGACAGAATGACATAATGTTTGGGCAGTTGGGCAGGATGGGGCAGGCAGTACATGCGGATAACAAATAAAACAAGACTGTGTTGGTAATTATCAAGGATAAAGAATACAAGGACCTCAACTGTGCTATTCCTTCTACTTTTGTATATGTTTGGAATTTTACATTACAAATAAAGTTTTTAGTTGGAGTATAATGTTCAGTAACCACTTTTGGATCTCTTGCAAATGATACCTGTTATGTAATGCTCAGTTAATTCAGTATAATCTTCTGAGGGGAACATAGCCCATAGCTCATAACCTGTCTCTTCTCTGTTGAGACTCACTGCAACAGTGACTAACAGCTATTGATGAGATGGGCTACATCACCGAGGTATACCGAGGGGGGAAGAAAAAAGGTAAGTCTGATCTTGAGAAGAAAAATGTAATGGGGTTATTAGTTTAAATAAAATAATGCAAATTAATTCAAAGTGAAAAAATTACAAGGACCAGGTGAGAATTTGGGAGAAAGGAAAGAAGGAATCCCTACAACAGTCATACTTCCACTGGGAAATTTTCCCTCACCTCTTGTTACCATTGTAGGATTTGGTAAAGGCTCTGTGGTTTTTGAGGCAGATTAAATGGTAAGATCTCCTTCTATTCTCTCTTTCAGGGTAAATGAGAACTGACAAGGAAGGATGAAAGGTGTGGTTTCTAGTTAAAAAAAAGAGACCTTAAGAGAAGCCTGGATATTATAAGTTAATGGAGAGGCAGATCTGTCCAGATTTTACAGCTCATTTCATTTTGGGTGGGCCCTTTCTTTTAGCCATATGAAAAAGAAGGAATAGGCAGGGGACCCTAGGCTTTCCCATAATAGGATGTACAATTTTGGAAAGATAACTAATTGGCTAAGGAGAGCTTAGGTCTAGTTACTCACCCAGAGGGGGCTGCAGCATACCCCCATTCTTCTCACAGTTCCCAATAGGCTGGATTTCAGCTGAGTCAACCAGCCGCCAGAAGTCATTCTTGTTGTCGCTGCCATCAAGGCGAAGGCGGAGGCGGGCACCTGTCAGTCCAACCACTGTGGCAATACACGTGGATGTGGTGTTCCTGGGGTCCTGCGCTTCCAATTTCATGCTGATCTTGAACTCGTTGCTTGGAGGTGTGTAGGACTGAGAAAAACAAGCCATGGGGATTAGGAAGACTAAGAGTGAATGGCATTTTCTGTACGGATGTTGAGTTGGAACCTGACAATTTATGCTTTGGACTGAAATTGGTTATAGCTGGGCCTAAGACAACTGCCTTGAACTATTCCCTAATTCTTAGGAAGGGTTTCATATAAAAGAAACGTTGGAAGGTAAGATGAAGGGGATAAAATTACTTTCCACAGAGGCATCAAATATTGACTCATACCAGTAAGAAAAGCACAGCAGTGTCTCAAATGGTCCTGATTTAAATGCTTGCTTATCCTGTCTTCTCCAACATCCTAAATCTCCAGGTATTCATAACATTTTCTTCTTAGAAATCATCCTATTAAACTTGCATATCCTCAGTGTCTCTTCATGGAGCATTTCAGTGTATTGGTTTGTATATTCACCACACACACTATTGGGGGTTAAAAGTTTTCTTATTTTGCCATTAACTTACAAATCAATTCATATTTAAAAACAATTTTAAGTTAAGCTGACATACTATAAACTATACCCTTTGTTAAATCTTGACATATATATATATACCCATGACACCATACACAGCACAACACCCTAGGAACCATAACCACAATAAAGATAATGAACATGGACACATTCCCAAAGTTTTCTCAGGTCCCTTTATAATCCCTCTGTCTAGCCCTTCCCAGACCCCTGCTCCCAGGTAAACAGTGATCACCTTCTATCACTGTACACTGATTGGCTGCATTTTCCAGTTCTAAGTGGAGTCACAGAGAATAAACTCTTTTTGTGTGTGTCTAGCTCCTTTCACTCAGCATAATCTGATAGTCACCCATATTGTTGGATATATCAATAATTCATTTCTTTTTTCTAAGAATCTTGTTTTTTACAGCAGTTTTAGGTTCAGAAGAAAACTGACCAGAAGGTGAAGAGATCTCCCATATACACCCTGCCCCAAACACATGTGCAGTCTCCCCTATTACCAACACCTCCCACCACAGCAGTACATTTGTTACAACTGATGAACTTATCTGGACACACAATAATTACCCAAAGTCCACATTTTACACTAGGGTTCTCTCTCGGTGTACGTTTTGTGGTTTCCATCAAATGTATAATGACAGGTATTCATGATTATAGGATCATACAAAATAGTTTAACTGCCTTAAAAATTCTCTGTGCTCTGCCTATTCATCCCTCACCCACTCAACCACTGATCTTTTTAGGGTCTCCATAGTTTTGCCTTTTCCAGGATGTCATATAGGTGGAATCATATAGTATGCAGCCTTTTCAGACTGGCTTCTTCCCCTCAGTATATGCAAGTTAAGTTTCCTCCGTGTCTGTTCATGGCTCAATAGCTCATTTCTTTTTACAGCTGGATTATGTCCCATTTATTGGCTACACCACAGTTTTTTCATTTACCCACTGAAGGGCATCTTTTTTGCTTCCAAGTTTTGGCAGTTATGAATAGAAGTGCAATAAACTTCTATGCACAGGTTTTTGTGCAGATGTAAGTTTTAAAATCCTTTGGGTAAATACCAAGGAATATGATTGCTAGATTGTATAGAAAGAGTATGTTCAGTTTTGTAAGAAATCGACAAACTATCCTACAATATGGCCATATAATTTTGCACTCCCCCCAGCAATGAATGAGAGCTTCTTTTGTTCTACATCCTTGTCAGCTTTTGGTTATGTCACTCTTCTGGATTTTGGCCATTCTAATTAGTGTGTTGTGTTATCTCACTACTGTTAATTCCTATTTCTCTGATGATACACGATGTGGGACATCTTTTCACATGCTTTTTTGTCATCTGTATGTCTTCTTTGGTGAGGTGTTTATTGACATCTTTGGCCCATTTTTTTTAATCAAGTTGTCTTCTTATTTTTGAGACTTTTAAGTGTTCTTTGTATATTTTAGACAACATTCCTTTATCAGATATGCCTTTTGCAAATATATTCTCCCAGTCTGTGGCTTGTCTCCTTATTCTTCTGACAGTGTCATTCCCAGAGCAGAAGGTTTTAATCTTAATGAAGTCCAGCTTCTCCATTATTTCCTTCATGGATCATGCCTTTGGTGTTATATTTAAACAGTCATCACCACACCCAACGTCATCTTGTTTTTCTCCTATGTTATCTTCTAGGAGTTTATAGTTTTAAGTTATACATTTAGTCCGTGATCTGCTTTGAATTAGTTTTTGTGAAGGGTGTAAGGTTTCTCTCTAGATTCCTTTTTTTCATGTGTGTGGCTATTGTTGTTTAAGCACTATCCATTGGGAAAAAAAAAAAAACTATCTTAGCTCCATTGTATTTTTGCCTTTATTTTGAGGGACTATTTCTTGGCTCTCTTTTCTGTTCCACTGATTCATGTGGCTCTTCTTTTGCAAACACCACACTGTCTTGACTCCTGTTTCTTTATAGCGAGCCTTTAAGTTGGGTAGAATCAATCCTCCAACTCTGTTCTCCTTCAATATTATGTTGGCTATTCTAGATCTCATCTCGCTACATAAACTTTAGAATCAATTTTTTCCACAAAATAACTGGCTGTAATTTTGATTAGGCTTGGACTGAATCTATAGATCACATTGGGAAGAACTGTCATCTTGGTAATAAAACTAACACCTATCCTTTTTTTTTTAAAGATTTTATTTATTTGAGAGAGAGAGAGCACATGCAAGCAGGAGGATGGGCAGGCGGAGAGAGAGAATCTCAAGTAGACTCCACACTGAGCCGTGGAGCCTAATGTGGTGCTCAATCACATGACCCTGAGTTTATGACATGAGCCAAAATCAAGAGTCGGATGCTTAACTGACTGAGCCACCCAGGTACACCAAGCCTTCCTATTCTTGAACATCACTATTGCTCCAGTTTTTTAAAAGTTTTTTAATTTCATTTACCAGAGTTTTGTAGTTTTCCTCATACAAATCTTGTATATATTCTGTTAGATAAATATCTAAGTATTTCATTTTTGGAGGTGCTAAGTGGAACTGTGTTTTTAATTGCAAATTCCACTTGTTCATTATACTATAAAGGAAAGTAACTGACTTTTATATATTAACCTTGTATCTTATGAACTTGCTATAACTGCTTATTAGTTCTAAGAGGGTTTTTTGTCAATTCAAGTTTGCTACAGAGACAATTATGTCATCTGAAAACAAAGATAGTTTTATTTTTTCCCTCCCAATCTGTATATCTTTAATTTTCTTGTCTTATTACAGTATCCAAAACTTCCACTATGATATTGAAAAGGAGTGGTGAGAGGAGATGTCCTTGTCTTGTTCCTGATCTTAGCAGGAAAGCTTCTCATTTCTCACCATTAAGTATAATGTTGGCTATAGGATTTTTGTAGAAATGATCAGTCTGCATAACTATTCTGATATTTATCCATATTGTTGAATTAATCAATAATTCATTTCTTTTTATTGCTGAGTTCATGTTGATAAACATTTGGTGTGTTTCTAGTTTTTGATTATTACAAATTAATCTATGAACACCCGTGTATGAATCTTTGTATGGAAAATATACATATATTGCTGCTATTGTAAATGAGAGTTTCTCTTCCATTTTGTCTTCTATTGAGTTACTTTTAACCATAGTACTGAGATATAAAAACATTTTTTTCCAAGTTAAAGATGTATTATTCAATTCCTAATTTAGTGATTTTTTTTTGGCTGAGTAGTTTGTTGACGTTTTTTGCCAAACTATATTTTAAAGTAATTGAATCATTTTATGTTTTCACCAGTAGCTTATGAAAGTTCCATTTTACTCCACATCCTTGCCACTGTTAAGTTTGGTGAGTCCTTTTTGTCAGAGACATTTAAATAAATGGATAGAGATATCTCATTATCATTTTACTTTGTATTTCCATAATGAAACAATGTTAACCGTCAATTCATGTACTTATCTGTCACCCACATATTTTCTTTGGCAGTTGCTCTAATCTTTCAATCTGAATCCTTTTCCTTCTTCCCTCCCTACAAGCCTCCCTTCCTCCTTTCCCCCCCTTTTTTTTGGCCTGGTCACATTGGTAGTACAATGTTGAATGGAAATGGCAAGAACAGACATCCTTGTCTTGTTCCTGACATTAAGGGAAAAGCATTTAAACTTTTACCATTAAGTATGATAGCTTTAAGATTTACATAGCTGCCTTTTAGGGGTTAGGATTTAGGAAATGCCCTTCTATTTCTTTCTTTTTAAAATTTTATTTGTTTGACCGAGAAAGACACAGCAAGAGAGGGAACACAAGCAGGGGGAGTGGGAGAGGGAGAAGCAGGCTTCCTGCTGAGCAGGGAGCCTGAGGCGGGGCTGGATCCCAGGACCCTGGGATCATGACCTGAGCCAAAGGCAGATGCTTAATAACTGAGCCACCCAGGCACCCAAATGCCCTTCCTTCCATTTCTTGTTTGTTGAGAGTTTTTATTAGTAATGGACATTGGATTTTGTCAATGCTTTTTTGCATCTACTGAGATGATCACAGTTTTTCTTCATTAGTGTGTTCATATGGTAAAACACTGATTGACTTTTGAATGTTTAATCAACCTAGCATTCTTGGAATTAAGTTCCACTTGGTCATGATTACATATTGCTAGAATCAATTTCCTAGAATTTTCCTTAGAATTTTTACAAGTATTTTCAGGTGAGATGTTGCCTTGTGGTTCTTTTTTTGCAGTATCTTTACCTGATTTTGGTATCAGAGTAATACTTGCCTCATAGAATAAGCTGGAATGTATTCCCTTCCCTTAAACTTTCCGGAAGAGTCTGTATAGAACTTGCATTACCTTTTCCTTAAACGTTTGCAATAATTTACCAGTGAAGTCATCCAGGCCTGAAATTGTCTTTATGAGAAATTTCTTAGCTATGAATTCAACTTCTGTAAGAGCAATAGTGTTATTCAGAACTTTGGTAATCTGTGTTATTCATGAAAATTATCCATTTCAATGAAGTTGTCAAATTTAAAGGCATAAATTTGTTCATAATATTCCTTTATTAGTCTTTAAATATTTGTGCAATCAATAGTGATGTTACCCCTTCCAGTTCTGACATTAGTAATCTCTGTTTTCTCTCTTTTATTATTGATTAATCTGGCTAGAGGTTTATCATTTCTATTGATATTTGCAAAGAATCAGCTTTTGGCCTCAATGATTTTCTCTATTATTTTTCTGTTTCTTCTATTATTGTTTTATGCTCTGATCTTTATTATTTCCTTTCCTCTGCTTACTTTAGGGTTAATGTGCCCTTTTTCTCCCCCTCATTATTTAAAATGGAAGCTGAGGTCACTAGATGAAATTCTTTTTGGTATCAGTGCTGTAAGTTCATTGTAAGGACTGCTTAGCAGCAATCCACAATTTTGAGATTTTCATTTCTATTTAGTTGAAAATATTTTTTAATGTCCCTTTTTATTTCTCCATACCCAAAGGGTATTTAGAAATGTGTTACTTAGTTTCCAAATATTTGGAGGTATTATTTTCCAGATAACTTAAAAAATTTTTTTAAATTTTTTTAGTGTTCCAAGATTTGTTGTTTATGTACTATACCCAGTGCTCCACGCAATACGTGCCCTCTTTAATACCGACCACCAGGCTCACCCATTCCCCCCACCCCCTTCTCCTCTAAAACCCACAATTTGTTTCTCAAAGTCCACAGTCTCCCCCTCCGATTTCCCCAACCCACTTTTCCTTTCCTTCTCCTAATGTCCTCCATGTTACTCCTTATGCTCCACAAGTAAGTGAAACATATAATTGACTCTCTCTGCTTGACTTATTTCACTCACCATAATCTCCTCCAGTCCCGTCCATGTTCATACAAAAGTTGGGTATTCATCCTTTCTGATGGCTGAGTAATATTCCATTGTATATATGGAGCATATCTTCTTTATCCATTCGTCCATTGAAGGGCATCTTGGCTCTTTCCACAGTTTGGTGATTGTGGACATTGCTGCTATGAACATTGGGGTGCACATAGCCCTTCTTTTCACTACATCTGTATCTTTGGGGAAATACCCAGCAGTGCAAATGCAGGATCATAGGGTAGCTCTATTTTTAATTTTTCCAAGTAACTTTTGCTATTAATTTTTCATTTATATTCAGTATAACCCAAGAACATACTTTTTATTACTTATATCCTTTTAAATTTATCAAAACTTACTTTATGGTCCAGAATATGGTCTAACTTGGCAAATATTCTGTGTGCACTTGGTAAGAATGTACATTCTACTGTTGCTGAGGGTGCTCTATACATGTCAGTTAGGTCTAGCTGGTTGACAGTGTTATTAACGTCTACTGTTCACTTGCTGATTTCCTACTATGTGTTCTTTACTTATAGACGGGAGTATTAGAACCCCATCCATAAATAAATTTAGGTTTATTCATTTCTCCTTACATTTCCTTTTTTTTTTAACTTTAAAAAAAAGATTTAATTTATTTATTTGACACAGAGAGAGATCACAAGTAAGCAGAGAGGCAGGCAGAGAGAGAGGGGAAGCAGGCTCCCTGCTGAGCAGAGAGCCCAATGTGGTACTCGATCCCAGGACCCTGAGATCATGACCTAAGCCAAAGGCAGTGGCTTAACCCTCTGAGCCACCCAGGCGCCCCTCTCCTTACATTTCTATCATTTTTTGCTTCATGTAAAAAATGTCTGAAACAGGGGCGCCTGGGTGGCTCAGTGGGTTAAAGCCTCTGCCTTCGGCTCAGGTCATGATCCCGGGGTCCTGGGATCGAGCCCCGCATCGGGCTCTCTGCTTGGCAGGGAGCCTGCCTCCCTTTCTCTCTCTCTGCCTGCCTCTCTGCCTACTTGAGATCTCTGTCTGTCAAATAAATAAGTAAAAAAATTTAAAAAATGTATGAAACATTTTCATGATGAAATTACCTTTTTTTTATCTTTGGCAGTATTCTCTACTCTGAAATAAACTTTGATATTAACATTGTCATTTTAGTTTATTGTGGCTAATGTCAGCAAGGTATACCATTTTCTATCCTTTTACTTTTAACGTGTTTGTGTCTTTATAGTTAAAGCATAATTTCTTGCAAGAAATTAAATTTTGTTTTTTTATTTAATGTGACAATCTCAACCTTTGAACTAGGGCATTTAGACCATTTATAATTAATTTGATTACTGATATGACTGGATTTAAGTCTAACATCTGTTATTTATTTTCTATTATTTTAGTGGTTGCTCTGCTGTTTATAGTAAACAAGTTTAACTTATCAGTCTATCTTCAAGTAAAAAGTATAATAAGAATCTTACAAGAATCTTACAACAGTATCTTTAAGATGTCTCCTCTCCTGGGCATTTATGTTATACATTTTACTTATTCATCTGTTATCACCTGTACAATACAATATGATTATTACTATTTACATGATTATCTTTGTAGAGATTTAAATAATAAGGATAAACACCTGATGTATTTGCCCTTGTCATAACAATTACCAGGGACTCTCATTCTTTTTTACAGATCTGTAATTCCACCAGGTATTATTTTTGGAAGGTCTTTTGACTGGGTATAGAATTCCAGGTTGAGAGTTTTTGCTTTTGGTATTTTGAACATGTTACTCAACTTCCTTGATTGCATTGTTTCTGACGAGAAAATATAATGTTATTCTTATCTTAGTTAACCTTTATGTAAAGTGTCTTTTTTTGTCTGGCTGCTTTTAAGATGTTCTCAATTGCTAACTTTGAGCATTTATGATATGAATTAATGTAGTTTTCTTCTTGTCTTTTATTTGGCGGGGATTCATAGGGCTTCTTCAATCTGTGCATTTACAGTTTTCCTCAATTTTGGAAATTTTCTAGCCATTTTATCTTCAAATATTTTTTCTGTCCCTCATCTCTTCTCCTTTGGGCACTCTAATTACAAGGCTTATGAAGTTACCCCACGGAAACTGAAGTCATCCTTTGGCTCACTGATGTTATTTTTCATCTTTTTAAGATTCTTTTCTCTCTTTGTGTTTCATTTTGGATAGTTTCTACTGCTATGCCTTCAAGTTTACTGATCTCTTCTGCCATTACTCCCATCCAGTATACTTTTCATTTTGCACTTAGCAGTTCAATATGAGTCTTTTTATATTTTTCACGTCTCTGCTTAACTTTCAAACACATGGAATACAATTAAAATACACATTTTAATGTTTTTGTCTGCTATTCTAAGATCTATATAGATTCTGGGTCTGTTTCAATTGGTTGATACATTATTCTGCTCATGACTGATTATGTTTTCCTGCCTCTGACATTTGACTTTTACCTGTTGGTTGCTGGTTATTTTTGCATTTCTTCTTGTGCTCTGTTCTTACATGCACTTAAGTTACCTGAAAACACTTTGATCATTTTGAGTCTTGCTTTTATGATTTGTTAGGCAGGTCCAGAGAAGTGCTCATTCTAAGGCTAATTATTTCCCACTGCAGAGTAAGACTGTTCCAAGTTTTCTGACCCATGACACATGAATTATGAGGTTTTCCAGTCTAGCTGGTGGAATCAGGCATTATCCCCAGTCCTGTGGGAGTGTGAGGCTCTATTCCTTACAATACCAATCCTGTCAGATGGTTTTTCTCTGGCTTTGGGTAGTTTCTTCATCTGCATACATGAAACAACATCACTTTGCTGAACACTTTAAGAGGGTTTTCTGCAGATCTCTGTGCTTTTCTTTCTGTGCAGCTCTCTCCTCTTAGGCACTCTGTCCTCTAAATTCTAGCCTTCTTGGTTTCTCCTCTCAGTTCTGTCTCTTCAAATTAGGGAGCCACTGGCCCAACCTGGGCTCCTCTTCTATGGGCCACAGTCTCAAAACTCTCTTAAGGCCGTAAGCTAGGAAGTCAGAAGGGGCTTAACTCATTGTTTTTCATTGCTCAGATATCACTGTACGTGGCTGCCTGATCTTCAGTAACTTGAAAACAACTGTATAATATACTGTCTTTTATCATTATTTCTGGTGGAAATATGAATTTAGTCCCTGTTATTTCAAATGAGCAGAAGTCCTGGATTTGTATTTTTATTTAAAACACAGACACAATTCAAAGTGAAATGCTGACAACTTGAGGAAATAAACACTTGACTAACAAAGGAAGAAAGGTATAAATAACTTCCTGATGTTTAGCTCTGCCTAGCACCAGTATACTTTGTTTACCAGCTTATCATGTGCTGAGATAGGCAACATTATCTGTGCATTCTGTGGGACACTTACCCCTATATGGGAAGGTCTGAGAAACCTCTAATAAGGTCCTAACATACTCTCCAATGGAACTTGTACCAGTATTCTTATGGGGAGGGAAGACTGTGGCCGGGGTGTTGCATAAAGAGAAATGAATATTGCTCCACTTTCAAGCACTGTCTACAGGCTGTAACTCTGCTTCCTATCTGTCTGAATTAAGAGCTTTCATAAAAATTAGGTATTGTTCCCAGGAACAAAACATAGCTTCAAAGAGGTTAAGAAAGGAAAAGGTGTTACTTGGGATGAAGTTGGAGAGACTGTCTACTGCCAAAATTCATGAATTTTGAGCCTTGAGCTGTTTTCTTCTCACAGAAGTTTATTCTGGGGCCTTCAGGTGAGAAGTCCAAGGGCTTGTTTTGCTTGTTTCAGGATCAGAACAAACCTACTTGCCTCCCACCTACTAAAGATGTTGAGAATCAATTACCTGCTTGAAGCAATGGACAGGCGCTGGGACTGAACATGTTTCTTTTAGGTATTTGTCCCAGGTAAAATGACCTGTAAAGGAAATAGAAATCTCTATCACAGTCAACTTCCTAAAAAGTGCTTTTGGGATGTAATCTACTCTAAACATGGGCCATTTTTGGACTTGCTCTGAGTGTAAGAAAAAATTTATTTTCCCCTATTGGGCTCAAAAGAGTATTAGGGGTAGAAATCTAGGTAACCTGAGTGGATCATTTTAGATCAACATTTTAAAATCATGGTCTGAAGATGACCTTCACATGGTTTTCATGTTAGTCCCTAAAGGGATCCAAAATGCCAGAGTGAGCTCACACAAGTGTCCAGGAAGCTTTGGACAGCTGAACAGAAGACACAGAGAGTGGGTGAGGAGAATCCTTCTGAACACCCTGTCTCCTGTCGAAGAGATCCCTTAATACCATCAAATGATAGCTTTTAACACCCAGTACGGTCAGATCCCACCCTCTCAGCTTAGAGAGAATGGAGGAGAGATATAGGGTAAGATGGTTTGATGGCAGCAAAAACTGGAATGAGTGAGATTATACTTGAATCCTCGCTCTCTCTCACGCACCCCTAAACCACTCCCATTCTTGCCACAACTGCATTGCTCTGAGCTGCAAAATGACAAAGATGTGGTAATTTACAGAAAAGTAGGTCCTTGTAGCATTTCTGAGAGTAACTAAGAATAAGTAAGGGAGTCTACAGGATCTTTTAGCCTCTTGAAGTGGGCTTTAGAGCCTCTCAAAGTTTAAGGAACACTAATACCCACCTAGAGGTGACCCCATGAGGGTGCAAGGAAGATCCCAGAGACTCTCACAAGCTAAAACACCACAGCAAACCAACATTTCTTGAAGTTTCCTCTGCAGTGGAGCAGCACAGGGCCACTTTGGACCATACAAAAAGCAGTAGATACTGGGAATAAAAATGATTCGCTGAATGATGAAATCTAAATCACTTCAAAGATGCTGCCACGACTTCATACTCTATTGACTTTATAGCTTCTATCTTAAAACTGGTCGCTTTCCCGCCATCCTTAAGCAAGCCCAACAGATTTGGCTGGATCACAGTCAGTTCTGAACCACCTCATGAACTCGCCGGTGATTAACTATCTAAAATATAGAGTCCATAGGGTAAATGAGATGGATATTCCCTGGAATCAAGATTTGAGGAGCTTATCAGAATGTAATAAAGAGTATGCTCTTAGCTGAAACGTCCATAAAACAAGGAATGAATACAGTTCATTACTATTTGCTGTTAGGAAAAGTAAAACACTACAAATTACTATTCCATGCTTACAAATAAAGGATTAAATCCAATAGCAAGTCTGGGATTTGAGTGAACTGTAATTCTTGAAAGTCCAGCATCTATGGCAACACTGTCCACTAAAACTTTCTGTAATGATAGAAATGTTTTGTGTCTGTATTGTCCAGTTAAGGCAGCCACCGGCCACATGTAACTACTGAACACTTGAAATGTGAATGAGGAATTTAAGTTTAAATTAATTTGATTTAATTTAAATTCCTACATCTGAGTAACAGCTACTGTATTAGTGCAGGTCTAGAGGTTTGGTCAGTCCTGGGTAATTACTTGTAGTAGCTTGAGCTTTGACCACAAGCACCCAAGACACTTTGGTTTTAAAAATTAATGGCAGCATTAGGGGTACCAAAATAATTAGGATATTAAATACAGTTCTCTCTTACACATCAATTATGATAATCAATCTCTGTTATATAGGCAAGAAACCTCACATCTTTCTCCCTATAGAGAACACCCTATTACCAACAGAATGAAAAGGAATCTCCTTGTTAAAAGCAGTTCACCCACTGTGATTGAACCACACCTAGATAAGCATTTTTCTTAAATTTTACTGCTTAGGCATCCTAAGGCTTTGTCTCTTAATTTCAGGTAAATTGAGATAAATTGACTTTTTCTGACACAATAAGAATGCCTGAGCACCTGCTGTAATGCCCATAATGCCATCATATCTACCACATCTCCAACTATACACACACACATACACACAAACAGGATGGGCAGCAAGGTGCAGATCAGGGAGGGGTTGGCAAACTTTCTGTAAAGGACAAGACAGTAAAAATGTTACTTTTGTTGGGCCAAACAGTCTCTGTCATAAATACTCAACTGTGTACTGTAGCCTGAAAATGGCCACAGGCAGTATATATATGAATGAACAGGGTTGTGTACACTAATACTTTATTTATAAAAATAGGCAGTGGGCTGGATTCGCCAACCCCTGGCATATTATTATTGATTCCCAAATGTTACTTATCATCAGACTCTCCTAAATAACTTTTCTCATTTCTTTAAATAGAGTTTTAGGCTCCAGCTTCAGAGGTTCTCATTCAGTAGGCTTTTGAGTGTGGTCTGAAAAATCTGTATTTTCAAAGGTTCCCTAAGTAATTCTGATTCACATCTGTGTCTCGAGATTACTGGTGTAGTTAGAAGTAGGTAATATTCAGAGTCAGAAGATGCTGGATAAAGTCTTGTGTTTTTTTTTAAGACCTTATTTATTTACAGGTGAGAGAGAGAGAGAGAAAGAGAAAACATAAGCAGGGAGGAGGGGCAGAAGAAGAGGGAGAAGCAGACCCCTGCTGAGCAGGGAGCCCAATGCAAGGCTAGACACCAGGACCCCAGGATCACGCATGACCTGAGCTGAAGGCAGACACTTAACCAACTGAGCCACCCAGGCGCCCCTAAAGTCTTATTTCTATAACCATCTTGGATAAGTTATTTAATCCTTCCAAGCATTAGTTTACTCATCAGGATGGAGATAATATCTATCATGCAAAATTGTACACGTACTCACTCATTCATTCAATAAATATTTATTAAACTTCCAAGTACAAAGGCACTGTGTTAAATGTAAGAGGAACAAGATAGACATGGCTCCTAAATTCATAAAGCTTGCAGTTTAGTAATAAGCAGCAATATTAAATAAATAATAACACAAATAATCTGGTACAATTATGACCAATGTAAGTTAATGAGGTGGTACAGGTTGCCTTGAGAATGCAGAATGGGAAAAATCTAATCTGCTACAGGGGTCAAGGATTACTATGAAGATTAATATTATTAACTCATTTAAGTATAATGTTTTATCGTTTACAGAGTGATTTCAATTATTCATTCAATCGATGTTTGAATATTTCTCTATGTGCCAGGCAGTATTCTCAGTGCTGGGGTAAGACAGGAGGTTCCTGCCCTTATGGAATTTACATTCTGGTGCATGATGAGGCACAATTAACATATAACCAAATAAATAATGAGTAATAAGTATTTGAAAGAAATAGTACTACACAGAGGCTGGTAACTATCTTAAATGGTGAAGTTATGGACAGATGCTCTACACAGGAAACAAATGGAACTGAAACGTTACAGGTAAGAAAAAGCCAGTCACCTCATTTATATTACTGAATAATGTTTATGAAAGTTTTCTTTAAACTCTAATCCGTACCACTTGATAGTTATTATTAGGAAGTAAAATCCCTGCCGTGAAGAGAATTACACACTACAGAAAAGTAAAATTCCCCAAAATGTAAAGCACAACGATCCACCAAGGTGAATGCATGAATCCTCTTCTCTAATACTTATTCATTCAACAAATAGTTATTGCACACCTACCATGTACCAACCCTAGTTCCAGGCACTGGTGATATATAGCAAAGAATAAAATAGCCAAAGTCTCTGTCCACAGGGAGCTTACTCTCTAAGGGGGAAGAAAAACAATAAATAAACAAATAAATATATGTCAGTTGGTTTAGCGGGCAACAGAAATACTTTTTATATGGCCTTTTTCAAATAAAGAAGAAAGCAAGGTAAGAGGGAAAGAGTGCCAATAGGGGTGTGTGTACTATTTTAGGCAGATGGTTAAGAAAGGCATCTTGATGAAGCGATATAAAAGTTGAGACCTGAAGCTCCCTCCAGCCTTTGCTTGAATACTTCCAAGGCTGAAAACCCCCTTATTCAGTTATTATCCAACAGTACATATGGATAGACTTTACCCTTTATAGTTGGGCAAGTCTGCCTTCTTCTAACCTCTACCCATTGGTCCCGGGCATAATACGTACAATCTCTCTTTCTAAAGATGTCCCAAACCCCTCAAATGCTGCTGATCTGATCTGGTTACATGAGGCACCTTCACCCGCGCTGGTTACTATCTGTCCACATTTCTCTACAATAACTCCACCCCATTCCACCTTAAGTGCAGAACCCAAATTCCTAAGAGAAATAAAGACAATCATAGTCTTTAGATCAGAAATCCTACTCCAAGATTACTGTCTGAAAACTGTTCCATTGTTTATATGTGCCATAATTCACATTAGTTAACAAAAATATTTATTAAATAATCTCAATGGTTATTTGAGTGTTTTCTAATTTTTGATGACTATTTTTGTACACACATCTTTTAACACTTTTAAGATTACCACTTTAGGGCAAATTCCTAAGGGGGGATTAATGAACAAAGAGCAGACATATTTTGATACAATATAATTCCTACCAGTAGTGCATAAGAATATGTTTCTTATAGTCTTTTTCTTTAATTTTTTTTTTTTTATTTACTTGACAGAGAGAGTACAAGTAGGCAGAGGGAGAAGGAGAAGCAGGCTTCCTGCCAAGCAGGAAGCCCAATGCAGGGCTCGATCCCAGGACCCTGGGATCACGACCTAAGCTGAAGGCAAATGCTTAACTGACTGAGCCACCCAGGAGCCTCTGTTTCTTACTTTCTTGCTAAAACTGCTTTAACATTCCCTACACTTGTGATAAACCTTACCAGAGAAGAAAAAAAAATGCTGTTATACTTCTATATGCAATTCTTTGATTACTAATAAAGTTAAAGATCTTTTTAGGCTTATTAGTCTATTTGTATTTTATTTAATCATTTTTCACTGAGGTATTCTTTAGTTTTCTCAGATTCTAAAAGTTCCATGTAGATTAAAGATATTAGTCCTTTGCCTGTCACGTATGTTGCAGACATTTGTCTCAGTCTGCTAGGATTTGCCCTTCAATTTCTCAGTCTTGTTCTTTATGACTTCTGGCTTTCATATCATGCTTTCTTTACTTCAATTTATAAGAAATATTAACCCAGGTTTTCTTCTAGGATTTCTCAGGTTTCATTTAAATGTTTGTTCTATTTTGAATTTAGTTTGTGAGACAGATAAGACAAAGATGTTGATTTCCTTTTCACCTCTATTCAATAAATGTGCTCACCGCCATTTATTGAATAAATCACCTTCTCCCCACTGATTTGAAATGTCACTTTGATCGCATATTGATTTCTTATATACATTTGTGCTCTGTCCCTCTCATCAGTCCATTCCAGCATGAGGAGCACTTTGTTTCACGTAATTTCAAAACCAATCTAAATAGAGCAAGTACTTTTCATAAGGCATACCCTCAACCATGCTTTCTTGGCACTTTCAAATGATTATTAAGTTATGGCATAGCCAGCACTAACAAAACCAAGTTATTTTAAAATGTCCGAAGTTTAAGTTTATGAGATACACAGTGCTGTTCATTATCAAAACAGTGTCCATAAGCCTTTTAGATCAGGAATTTGATAATTTTTAATGAATCAACTAAAGATAAAACACCAAGCCAAAAAAAACAAAAAACCAAAAAACTCTGACTCTCCCTGTTTCTCAGAACAAATCCCACCATTTCCCAGCTCCTGTAACATCCTATTCACACCTTTTATTTTCATACTCTTCACATCATACCATCATTATTATTTAAGTTCTTTACAGATAGCAGCTATCTTTATTATTGTTTTTTAAATCTTCACTGATTCATTAGTGCCTGACACTTAACACAGGCTCCATAAAAGTACAGTGAATAAAGTGAGTGAAAAGAAGAAGGAGGTATGCCACAGTGCTACTCTGTTCTGGACTAGTGAAATCATACCCAGGATATTACATTTAGTTCTGGGAGCTATACTTTGAGAGGACAGAATAAACCAAACCCTAAATGGTGACCTAAGTGGTGAAGGGACACAAAACCCCATCACCTGAGGAGCAGCTGAAAGAATGATGAACATTCAGCATGAAGAAAAAAAGCAAAGTCTTGGAGCCATTTTTCCATCTATCCATACAGCAAATATATTTATCGTATGTATCAAAGCACTGTGCTGGGTGCTAGAGATACAACTGTGATCAAAGTATTGTTCTTGCCCTCACAGAGCTTCAGTGAGGGGCAGAGACTAAACTACCAACTGTAATAAATTATGCTAAGTGCTGTGGTTGGCTAGGAGGGTGCTATAGGAGGACTTGTGGAAGGATCCCCAGAGGAAGCAACCTCTCCTCTTCTAAGTTAAAGTGTAGAAGGATAAGCAGAAGTCAGTCAAGGAGAAAGAAAATTCTTTCTTTTTTTAAAAAGATTTATTTATTTACTTATTTGAGAGAGAGAGAGAACACAAGCAGGGGATAGGGGCAGAGAGAGAAGCAGACTCTCCACTGAGCAAGGAAATTGCTGTGGGACTCAATCTCATGACCCTGAGCTCATCACCTGAGCAGAAGGTAGATACTTAACTGACTGAGCCACCCAAGCGCCCCAACTTATCACTGACTGAGCCACCCAGGCACCCTGAGGGAATATTTAAAAAAAAAAAAAAAAAAGAATTTTTTTTCAGACTAAAAGAAAAGCATGTATAAAGGGCCAGAAGTAAGGAAAGGTAGTTTTAAAAACTGAGTATTTTAGTATGGCTAATGGGTAGAGTTAAAAAAACAGTAGTTTAGAAAAGAGGCTTTAGATCAAAGTGGTGTTCAGGGACCAGAGAACCTCCTACACCACATTAATGAGAAGAGGAAGCACGGAAGGTTCTGGGGGAGGAGGCATTCTGTCTGCAGTGTGAAGGACGGATTAGAGGGAGACAGGCTGGAGGCAGGAAGACTAGTTAGGAAGCTATTCTAATCATCTAGGTATGAGATGGTGGTACTTCAACTAGGAAGGTAAGAATGGCAGGGAGAAGGCAGTCCCTAACACTTTCTAATAACTAGAGGCTGGTGAGTGAAAAATTGGCTAAACTATTCTCTATTTCCCTAAAAGTTGTAAGTATGATAGACAGAATTTACAAAGAAACAGATTTTGGCCCAATAAATATTTTTCTGAATATGAAGCAAGTTCCTGAGGAGGCTATAAGTCCCCAACAAATTTGAGGAGTTCGAGACAAGGCATTTTTATAAGATACTCAAAATGTCCAATTTTGAAATGCTGAGCCAAGTTAGATTATTTTGAGGCCTCTTCCAATCTCTGAAATTCTAGAAATCTACTGAATTTCATTTCAATTTGATATTTGGGGTTGCTCTCCATGCTTGATGGGGAAATGAAATATGTAGGATTAACTCGACAGCGGCTATCCCTACCTACGCCTGTGCTATGTTAGCACAGCCTCTACTCCTTGGCACAAGGAAAAATATACTTTCAAATTTTATGAGTATCCACTTTTCACAATCCCCTATCAACAAAAGAGACTGTTCACAGCATCCCCTGTCACTGAACCGTATGGAATTGTCACCATTCATATTAGCAACAGAACCCAAACCAGCGGCAGCTCTCACTGAGTACCTTCCATATGCCTACACCATGCCATACAATGTTCACTATCTCTCACGTTCATTATAACCTGAAAAGTAGGTTTTATTCCCAGTTTAAAGACGAAGAAATAGGCTCAGAAAGACTAATTTTCCCAAAGTCACAAAACTGGTAAGTGGGGAATAGGGATTTGAACCAAGGTCTATCTTATTCTCATGTCTATGCTTTTTCCAGCACACACCAGTGCCTCAGAAAGCTTGAGGCAAGTTTGAAGTCGTTAAAAAGTGATTCTCATTTATTGCTTATCAAGTGCTAAGCCCTTTACCTGCATTATTTAATTTCATTCATTTCTTCAGCTCATATTCATAGAATGCTTCACTTCAAAGAATATTCCAAGATTTGACTTAGAGTTGTATCTGAGGCTAATCCCTCAACAGAATGAAAATAACAATCCTCCAAAGTTGGAAAGTATTTGAGAGTATTTTAAGATGCTTTCACATCCATTAGCTCACGTAATCTTCTTAAAAACCCTGTGAAGTAGGGAGAATGGGATTATTATCCCCATTTTCCAAGCTAGAAAACTAAGGATGAACATCACAAAGTTCCAAAGTGCAGCTGGCTTTCAAAGGATCCAGGAGTTCTCACTCCTAGTCTAGTGTTCTTCGCTATCTTCTTTGTCAGTGGGCAATAAAAGTAATGTTCTTGGAAGAAAAGGCAAGAGGGAGCATAAAGACACTGATAATAATAGAGCTGAACATGTGAAGTTGCAGTAACAAAATATACAAAAATATCTGAACAAAAACCAATAAAGGCATTAGGATAGTCATACTTATGTTACATATAGAAAGACTTTAAGAGACTAAGAAGACCGACATTCGTTTATGCAGAAATCCTGAAGGCTGATTAAGAATGATTAACATTATTTCTCAAATCCTAGTCCTGAGGTACACCCTGTAGGGATGAAATTAAATGTAGTAGCAGTTTGACTCTTGTTATTTCAACTGTTAATATTTCTGATTGTATTTAGTTAAAAAATTTAGAAAATCTTTAGGTTAAACTTCAGTGCAATATATCTCATGAATAATTTCTCTTGGGAAAATCCCTCCAAGTTCTAATTTATGGACAGTCAGGGTTTGCATTAGCTGTGGATTTGGTGAGTGAAGAGAAGCTTCCCGTATGGGCCTCCTTGGACTCTGTGTAACTGACTACTCTCCCCTCCCCATCTTTGTTCGCTTGTTCTGTGCCTCCAGATAAGGAGGGTTTGGCCTGACAGCTGAGAGGACTGGCTGCATGGGCTCCAGAGGCAGCCGAGCAGAGGACTCGTTAGCCCAAGAGACAGACAGCACCGCATTCTTTTCCTAGTCACACTCTAATCTCTGGTTTGGTTAGTACCCATATTCAACAGAAATACAAGAAAGAAATCTTACCTAGTTCCAAGACGTCAGTAGCTTCTATTAAAGAAAAAAACGTTACAGCATAAGTCATTGTGACAAACATACCAAAAGGATAAAAAGGTGACGTTCTGGGGTAAAATGAAGACTTGAGAGTTTGTGTAATCCAACCTTCTCATTTTAAAAGATACTGAGTGTGTTATTAGTGCGTTACAGTAGTTGTGGAATATATCACCCAATTCTGCCTCACTCCCAAGGCTAAAGTCTTAGATAATTTGGAATTATCTGTACTCAGAGTCTAAGTTTCCTGACTTCTGGTTTAAAACAAAGCAAACTGCTTTGGGCAGATACCTCTACAAACTATAATATTTGCTTGTGTGTTAGCCAGTGAGTGTTTTGTACCACAGACCTCTAACAACAAAGGTTTCATGGTAAGAGATGTCAGATTAAATTTTTCCATGCTACACAGAGGTTTTTGTTTCCTTACCTTGATATTGGGATGCAGACTCTGAAAGGTGACCATATTTGTGTTTTCTAACATCATTCCAGTCTATTTCTGCAGGAAGAGAGAAGACAGTCATGTGAAAAGGAAATGCAAGATTCAATAATTCTCTAAGAGTAGGTATTCATAGTTTTTGATAAAGTAATCCACTTCTGAGATTGTATACTAAGAAAATGCTCCAAAATACAGAAAAAAGGTTTTATTTATAAAGCTTCATTTTTGTTTAGTAATAACAAAAAGGGGGGCAACTAAATGTTCAGAAGACTGATTAAGATATCACATCAATCACATGACAAAATATTTTGCAGCTATTAAATTTTTACAAAGGCGACATAACAAAACAGGAAAATGTTTAAGATATGATGTTATCTGATAAAATATCAGGTCAAAAATTATATTCATGAAATAATCATAATTATGAAAACAAAGTACACCCCTGCTATGGATTGAATTGTGTCCAACCACCCCCCGACATTCTAATGTAACTGTATTTGGAGACAGAGCTTATAAAGAAGTAATTACATTAAAATGAGATCATTGGGGTGAGCCCTAATCTGATAAAACTAGTGTCCTTAAAAGAAGAGGAAATTTGGACACATACAGGGACAAAGAAAAGACCACGTGAAGACAGGGAGAAGACTGACATCTACAAACCAAGGAGAGAGGCCTCAGAAAAAAACAATCCTGCCTATAACTTCATCTCTGGCTTCTAGCCTTCAGAATCATGAGAAAATAAATTTCTGTTTAAATCACCAGGTCTGTAATCTTTGCAGCCCTAGCAAATTAATACAACCCTACAAAGTTATCACTAGAAAAAAAAAAAAAAAAGAAGCAAACATAGCAAATATAAACATCTGGTTATCGTTAGGGGATGGTCTTGTTTCCACCCCCATCTTTTAATCTCATTTATTTTTGCATTTTCTATAAAGAGGATAAGTTACTTATATAATGTAAATACATTTTCCTTGTTTGAAACTTTAATCTACTGACCCTACCACTTTCTCACCATCAATTACCTATCACGTTTTTACTTCCCTTCTTAACCAACTCAGATCCCATCGTCCCTCATTAAAAACACTCCTGGGCAAACACTCTTAACTCCCTTCCACTACTTCTTTTTTGGGGGGGGGGGGGGATGGTCATATTTGCCTAGCAAAGCCTCAGTCTTAACTCTGATTAAAGCCACTTATCCATCTATATACCATGCCTACCCCGACTGCTCACAAGTACTAAAGACAAACAAATGCAAGCTTGCTGGTCTCACTTTAAACTCATGGCCATAATTCTCAAATGCCACTTAACACCATCTAGAAATCATACCACATTTCCCTACTGTGTTTGCTTTTCCACCTTAAAAAAAAATTCATATATTTTTCCCTCGCCTCATACTCCAAATATTCCCCCCCTCACCTTTACTCTTAGGGATGATGTTAATTCAGTGTTCATTGAGAAAACAGAAATAAGGGATAGGAACCTTCTATATGCCACTATTTTCAGGAAGGTACAGACCTGATCATGTTTAGTCCTATATCCCCCGTGTACCGTATAGAAGCAGGTCCTCAGTTAGTGTTTAGTGAATGAATAAATCTACTCACCATCATTCTATCTGACTGCTCTCCTATTGCTGTGGATGAAGTGCCTAGTTTTTTTTTTTTCATTTTTATTTTATTTTATTTTGTTTTTTATTGAAGTGCCTAGTTTTTATCAAAAGGGAATGCTCCAGTTCTCATTTCCTCTCATCCTCTCAAGGACTTTGTAAGTATTTCTTTTCTAATAGACCATTTGCACCTGCATCCTTACTGCTCCATCATCTATAGACAAACTGAAGAGTATCATGCGAAGTGAAATAAGTCAAGCAGAGAAAGACAATCACTATATGGTTTCACTCCCATGTGGAATATAAGGTATAGTGCAGAGGACCACAGGGGAAGGGAGGGAAGGCTGAATGGGAAGGATTCAGAGACGGAGACAAACCATGAGAGACTCTGGACTCCGTGAAAAAAACTGAGGGTTACAGAAGGGAGTGGGGTACAGGTATGGGGTAACCAGGAATGCGTATTAAGGAGGGCACGTGATGTGATGAGTACTGGGCGTTACGCACAACTAATGAATCGTTAAACACTACATCAAAAACTAATGATGTACTATATGTTGGCTAATTAGAAATAATAAAAAATAAAAACATAAAAAACAAAACAAAACAAAAACCAGACAAACACACAAAACAAAAGAACACCTCCCCTCTCTTAATCCCACATATATCCCTCCTGCTTTACCCTTCAATTTCTCAGGGAAATTTATTTTAAGATTTGTCTATACTCATTACTTCCTCACTTCCTCACGTTATCTCCTCATTCAAACAGGGTTTTTCTGTTTACTACTCCACTGAGATCATTCATATATTGGCCTCCTCTTGGAATTCCATGCTTACGTATATGACCACCTATAGGCTGTCTCTACAAGGTTATCAAATCAGACACTTCAAACTTAACGTGGCTAAAACAGAATGCTATCTCTTGCCAATCTGTTCTTCTTTTTTCTTTAGTTTTTATTTAGATTCCAGTTAGTTAACATACAGTGTAACATTAATTTCAGGTGCGCAGTATAGTGATTCAACTCTTCCATACATCACGCAGTGCTTATCACAAGTGTCTTCCTAAACCCCCATCATCTTTTTCACCCATCCCCCACCTACCTCCCCTCTGGTAACCATCACCTTGTTCTCTACATTTAAGAGTCTGTTATTGGTTTGTCTCTCTCTCTTTTTTTCTTTTTGCTTATTTGTTTTGTTTCTTAAATTCCACATATGAGTGAAATTATATGTGCTGGAGATGCCATTTATCGGTTTGGGGAAGACTGTTCCTCTTTTTGTTTTCTCCAAACCAGTGAACAGCATCTCCATCACTGAGTTGCTCAAGCCAAAAATCCCTGAGGTTATCCTTGATGCCTCTACTTCCTTCACACTCACATCCACTCAGTAAGCTCTGCTGGACCATGTCCCCAACCCATTTACCACTCTCATCCCATGGCTCACATTCCAGTTCTGGGCACTGTCCCTCTTACCTGGACCATTAGGACAGCCTGCTAACTAGAATTCCTGCTTCCACTCTTGGCCTACTCCAACCTATTCACCATACAGGGCTCAGAGTGAACATTTTATTTATTTATCTTTAAAGATTTATTTATTTATTTTAGAGAGAGAGTGAAGGGAGGGGGAGAAGAAGTGGGAGAGAACCTCAAGCAGACTCCCCACTGAGTGCGGAGTCCAGTTGGGAGGGGGAGGGAAGGCTCGATCTCAGGACCCTGATGTCATGAGGAGCCAAAATCAAGTCATATGCTTAATGGACTGAGTCACCCACGTCCCCACAGAGTGAGCATTTTTTTTTAAGATTTTTATTTATTTATTTGACAGAGAGAGAGATCACAAGTAGGCAGAGAGGCAGGCAGAGAGAGAGGAGGAAGCAGACCCCCTGCTGAGCAGAGATTCCCGATGTGGGACTCGATCCCAGGACCCTGAGATCATGACCTGAGCCGAAGGCAGAGGCTTAACCCACTGAGCCACCCAGGCGGGTGCCCCAGAGTGAGCATTTCAAAACACAAAACATCTGCTTAAGCATGGCTTCCCAACAGCTCCCCAATGAGCTAAGGGTGCCTTGCCCAACTATGCAGTATTTGGCTGATCTTGCCCCATATGACTTTTCCGTTTTCCACTATACTCCAGTCACATTGGCTAGTGTTCCACCCTAAGTGTTTGCCTTCTCTCCTAGTTGGATGTCCCCAGTCTTTCTAGTAACTGCCACGTTTGTTCTCTAAATCATGAATAAAGATTGCAAACTTGATCAGGCTAAAAAATTGCTGACAGAGACAAAAGATATTAGGGTATAACTGAATTTATATTTAAATTTTCAAAAATTATTTTAATAATTAGAACATAGTCTTAAAAATTAAATATACAATATATATTTCATTTATGTACAAGTTTTCACTCTTCTATTCCTTATGTAAAGATGAGCTACTGGTATACACAAAACAGAATTAGGAGCCACAATAAATAGAAAGCAGGCTACAAGATCACTAATAAAACTAATAAAACAATTCAAAAGCAACCAATACAATTTAGGAAAAAAACATTCTAGTAAAGAGAAAAAAGAAACCAGACTCAATGATGAAGCAAAATGAACAGAATAATTAAAAAACTTAACTGGCATAAAGGCATCAAATAAGGCCCCACAAGACAATGAAAAAGGAACTTCTGAGAAAAAATATTTGAAACTCCTCACACAAACAAGTGGAACCTGGAAAGCAGTACCCCAGAGAAGAAAAGGAGACAACAACTACATTCATTACAAATGACTTAATTTTTAAGCATCACCATAAATTACTCAGTAGATTAGGCAATCATTCCTGTATCAATTCTTAAATGAATTAAATGAATCGATCAATTCTTAAATTCAATTCTTCAATCAATTCTTAAATGAATGAAATTCTTAAATGAACAGAATGCTGCCTCTGATAGAATTCCACACATAAAAGAAAAGGAGCTCGTTTTTTTTTCCCCCAAAACATTTTAAGATTAATGGCCATGTTTCAAAATACATTATGATATGCAGCTACTATTTTTAAAAAACCAGTTTTATTTTATTCTCTCTCCTCAGGCATATGCTCTCTCTTATTTCTTCTCTGGTCGTCCTTCTCCCAGTTAACAGCGACAAATCAGAAACCTGGAGTCCTCCTTAATTGTCTTCTCTCGTCCTCTGGATCCAACCAGCTATCAAAATCTGTCAGTTCTCCCTCTGAAATTACCGTCTGCTCTGCTCCTATTCTGAGTTTAAGATTTCATTCTCTTTCACCTGCCTGACAGAAACAATTACTTCAGTCCCATGTGGGACCCCATCCCTCTCTAATCCATACTCAAGCACTCATTTTCTAAAATACAGATTAAACTTGTCACTACTCCTTTAAAAGTCTTCAAAGATCAAACCCCAAACTGTCTCCATAACAGACATGCCATACCACTTTCTGTATCTGGACTTTACCCCCCACCCCACTTCTCT